ATATTAAACACGCGACGCGGTGCTATATTTCAATGATTTGACTTATGACGTTGTGCATAACCTTTTCAGACAAAATAATGTATTTTAATCATAAAATTCCTGTTAACAAATAGTTTACAAACATGTAACCTTTTAGAAAATTTCCATTTTGCGAAAGATCATACGTAAATATTATGTTTACGTTTCTTCACATACCTTGAAGTTTTGAAAAGGCCTATTTCTTTCTGCGTCTAAAATATCCATTAACGTTCCCCATTTCTTTTTTCCATACTCTTTACTAAATCCAGCAGCGTATTTTTTCGAAAAATTTCACCATTTACTCGAACTCGATTTTTTTTTCTACCGCCATCCTCAGTAATAAGCATGTGCGGAAGCAGGCCACCTTTGACAACAAACTACCCCCTTTCCCTGAGCCTGGATCACCAGGCTGTAGGATCTGAAAGTGATCCAGGCAGGAAAAGTGATCCAGGATGTAGGCCACGAAGTATAATACTCCGTGGCCTAGCTATGCAATAAACGTTACTTCCGCACGGAATTTTCACTTCACTTTCCGCCGACGGAATTTGAAGGGGCCAGACTCGCTCTCCCTTCTGCTGTCGAGTGGAAAGAGAATCCCGACTGGTTTTCCGATATCGATCTCGACTGGTGTCCAGACTAGACCCCTTAGTTAAATTCCGTAATGTAGAACAACGTAAAAATATTTTCTTATTTCTGGGTAATTAAATGAAGTAGAATTAAATTAAGCGCAATTAAAGCCTAAAAATCAACAATTGAATTTTACTACCAATTTTGAACCTTTAAAAGGATGAGTTTCAGCTGAGCTACAGCAGAAGCAGCTTCAGAAGGTAATCTCGGCTATAAATAATCGTTGGAGACTTTTACAAATCCTTATCTTTGCTCTGTAAAATCGTATTTAAATAATTCCAAATGCTCAAGTTAAAACATGGTTCTGATTTCATTCTATGTTTGCATAAATTCGTTGATAGCAAAGGATCTTTTTCTCTCTCTTCTATACAGTTCACAGATCTCTTGTATTTTTTCCTACGCTAATCACTTCATTCTTAATAATAAGTTTTAGATTTCGCTTCAATTGTTATATATCAATTATTGCTGCTATTATTCAAGTCAATATACAATAAGTGTTTACTGCCCTTATGTGTTACCACATTAATAACTGAATTTCATTCAGTTTATCGTATGAACTATACTAACAGCATTTAAACATTGTGTTAATAACGCCTTACTTATTTTGTTAGTATAATTTAGCTACTTGTGTATGACAACAGTAGGAGATATTCAAGTTTGAGAACAATGTAATAAGACTCCTATATACCTAGAGGAGCCTTATTTCATTCCAAGGCTACGAAATTGTGCGTTTTTTGTGATGGTATACATTTGAGTTCTGACTGTTTTTCCGCGCAAAAAATGAGTTTATTGGAGAAGCAAAAAATTTTAAAAGATAAGCTTGTTTATCACCTGGTCACACAGTTAAGAAATGTCGAGTTTTTTTAAAATGCTTGATTTGCTCTAAAAAACATGTGCCTCTTATGTATGATGTGCTTGATACACAAATCAAAGCTGTACAGCCGAAAAACGAAGAAAAACCGATAGAGAGCGAAATTAACTTGTCCAATTTCAAAAGACATATCCCTAGAGATTTTCTTCAAACTTTGAAAGCGAACTTTATTTCTGCTGGTACACAGAAGACTGTAAGATTGCTTTTAGATTCAGCATCGCATAAATCATACATTTTAAAGACTGTAGCCGAAGAAATGAAATATTTCCCTGTTCGTCAGGAATGTATGGTACATTCTCTTTTCGGGGGTTTTGACAAACGAGTTGAGGTATAATTGCTATAAAGTAAAATTGAGAAGTTTGAATGAAAAGTTTACCTGCAATTTTGAAATCCTAGATCAAGCTACAATTTGTGACAATGTTCGGCCTGTGTGTAAAGGCCCTTGGATTAAAGAGCTAGAAAAAAATGGCATAATTTTAACAGATGTCGCCGTTAATTGCGAAACCATTCATATTCTCGTCGGAGCCGACATAATGAGAAGGTTGTTAACCGGAAAATAAGGAAAATTTTGTCTTCAGGTCTCGTTGCTGTAGAAACTAGTTTAGGATATGGGCATTAATGGGTAAGGGGCCAGTAGAAGAAGCTTCCTAATGAAATTTTAGCAATGGCAGTGACATCAATGCTTATAAATGAAGCTGAAGTTTCAAGTCTATGGAGATTGGATTTAATAGGGATAAATAATCATGTAGAAAAGAAATCTAAACATGAGATTGATCTTCAGACCAAAGAACATTTTTTTAGAAACCATTAGAGTAAATATTGATGGTCGGTATGAAATTTGCTTACCTTGGGCTGATGATAAATCACCTTTACCTGATAATTTTAGTTTAGCTAAAAAGAGGCTCAATTACACGACTTCGAAACTTTTAGCAATGAATTTGTATCAACAATATGAAAATGTATTTTTAAATTGGATTGATGAAGGCATCATAGAAATTGTGCCCACTCCTGAAGTGAACTCTTATGGTAATTACTTACCTCATCGCCCTGTCCTGAAGGCAAGCAGCAGTACCACACCTATTCGCCCAGTGTTTGATGCTTCAGCGAGGATGACAAACCATCCTCCTCTAAACCAATGCTTTCAGTGCGGTCCTAATTTAATCGAACTTATTCCAGACGTTCTACTGCGATTCAGAGAGCGGCGATATGGAGTCATAGTGGACATTAGAAAAGCCTTTCTACAGATAAGTATTCGAAAAGAGGATAGAGATTTCCTGCGATTTTTATGGTGGGAAAACATGGAAGAGAGAAAGCTCGGAGTTTTTCGACATGCCAGACTTGTTTTCGATGCAAAATGTAGCCCTTTCCTTCTGGCCTCAGTTATTGAGTACCACATTGAAAACAGCGAAGATTTTGAAGTTGCTTTTAAAAGGAGACTGTTGCAAAGTTTCTATGTCGACAATGTCGTTACTAGTGTTGACACTAAACAACAGTTGGAAAAGTTTGTTTCCGATTCTGAGATATTGATGTCCAAAGGCGGTTTTGACCTAAGAGGATGGGAATATTCTGGTGAGTTCGACGAAATCAACGCTAAGAAAGAAACACAGGTATTAGGTCTGCTTTGGAATAAAGAACTGGACACTCTGAAAATCAATGTGGGATGGTTGAATGACTTTAATTTGGAAAAGATAACAGAACGAAGCATGTTATCTGCCGTTCATAAGGTATTCGATCCTTTTGGTTTTCTCTCCCCCGTTATGCTCTGTCCAAAAATAATGTTACAAAAGGCATGGAAGAAAAGTGTCAGTTGGGACGAGGAGTTGACTGGTGAGCTTCGTAAAGATTTCTTACAATGGCTTGAAGAATTAAAATGCTTAAGTGAGATTGAAATTCCCAGATTTATTCAAGTCACTTCAGAAAATTTATGTAGTTGTGCTCTTTACACTTTTGTTGTTTTGTTGCTGGCAGCAAAGACGCTTATACAGCGGTTACATTTCTAAGGATTGAGAACAACGATTGAGTTGAACTGTTCCTTCCTACTGCAAAATCTCGAGTTGCTCCTTTAAGGCCCATATCACACGACGTTTGTTTCACTCGAATAACTATTTCGGACAATTTTTTTCACTAGTTTACTATTGAAAGAAAGACGTGCGACTTTTTCCTTCCTTTCCAAAAAAATTGCAAGTTGTTCGTTTTCAACCAATCAGCTATTAGCTTCGAATGCTATCAGCTTGTTTGTAATGGAGAACCTGTTTTCCCTGTGTTAACCCGAAAGCGATCTATGGTGATTGGCTGTTGTGACAAAGCAGAAAAATTGTTCCAAACAGTTGTTCTTCCGAAACAAACCGCTGTGTGATAGCAGCCTAAGAGGGGCCACTATCCCAAGAATGGAGCTTATGGCTGCCGTAATTGGTGCCAGATTGACAGATTTAGTAACCAAAGCCCTCGGATGGGAAAGAGTTAACAAATATTGCTAGAGTGATAACACAACAGCGCTCGCATGGATTCAAAGAGATGAAAACTGGTCCGTTGTCGTGCGAAACCGTGTTAAGGAGATCAGAGAACTCAGTAAACCTTCAGCTTGGAAGCACATTCCTGGAGAAAAAAAATCCTGCTATGCAGAGGTTGCAAGGCGAAATATTTAATTACATCAGGATGGTGGGAGGGACCACATTGGATGAAAGATCCTATCGAATTCCTTAATTACATGGATTCCTGTAACCACCATAGCTGGAATGAAGAAGAGATTGAAAGGGAGAAGTTGAAAACTACTAGCAAGATGACAAATAATGAAACCTTTTATGATAATAATTGGTATTACAGGCATTTTTCTAATTATGAGAGAATCGTACGTATGGTCGCCTGGATTCTTCGTTTTAAGCATAATAGTAAAAACACCGAAAGCAGGAGATACGGAGAATTGAATACAACAGGATTTCGTGAAGCGGAGTTAAAGATATTACGTATGATTCAAAAGAAATCCCTTGATTTGGAACATGATAGACTCAAAACATTTCAGGTATTTAAAGATGATCGTGGCATCTATCGTGTAAAAACTAAGATTATTTACAGGAAGGATAGTGAAGATTTCCTGAAACCAGTCGTCCTTTCTTCAAAACACGAAGTTGTGAAACGACATATTTTTTCTGTTCATGTGAAGAATTGTCACGCAGGTGGTCAGATACTTTTAAAAATTGCTTAGAGAAAATTATTGTATTCTTAACGGAAGAAAGACTGTAAAAGACATTGTGGCTAATTACGCAGTCTGTAAAAGATATAGTTCAAAGAGCATGGAAACGATATGCGCACCCCTTCCTGAAAATCGTGTTAAAGATGCTGTGGTATTTCAAATTACAGGGGTTGACATGCTGGTCCTCTCTTTCTAAACGAATGTAGGAAGAGTTGAGTGTTAATATTCACTTGCGCTGTGTACAGAGCAGTACAGTTTGAGCTAATTACTGCCGCTTCCAGAGATGGCTTTTTAATGGCATTTAGAAGATTTATAGCTCGCAGAGGAAGATGTACTATTGTATACTGTGACAATGGATCTAATTTTGTCGGAGCAGCTAATTCATTAAAACAACTAGATTGGAATCGTATACAGAAACATGGAGTCGTCAATTCGATCGACTGGAAGTTTAACCCACCGACTGCCACATGGTGGGAGCGAGTAATAAGAATATTGAAAGATCTGTTAAAAAGAGTGTTAGGTAAGGCACATATCAATTATGAAGAAATGGCAACTGCTCTGGCAGACTATGAGAGCGTAATCAACTCAAGACTTCTGACTTATATCTCTGAAGCAGATGCGATAAAGCCCATTTCTCCATCGATGTTTTTGCATGACATTCATAAATGCAGTGTTCCAGATATTGATGCTGTGGAACAAAATTCTTTCTCCAAGAGACTAAAATACAGACAAATCATACTTAAAGAACTGAGGAACCAATTTCGGTCGGAATACTTACGTGCTCTCATTCAACGAGGGAACGATAAAAAACTAAGACACCCAGTGGCTGTGGGTGATTTTGTTCTAGTGGGAGCTGATAACAAAAAGAGAATTAACTAGCTTTAGGTCGTATTCGTGAACTTCTTCCAGGTAAAGACGGTAATGTGCGGCTTGTGAAAGTGCAGACTTTACACCAAGAACTTCTTCGTTCCTAGCAGAGAATATATCCTCTTGAGATAGCATCTCCTACTGACTGTCCTAAGCCTGTGGAATCCAATAGTTTGACCAAGTTCTCAAAGCAGCCTATTAAACAGGATAATGGTGTGTTTGACCACAAGCCAAAATTTAGTAGGACTGGTAGAAAAATTAAGATTCCAGAAAAATTGGACTTATTGGTTGCTATTATTATTTCTTATACTTGAGTGTATTTCTGTGTTTTATTTATTTAGTATATTTAATGGTAATTTTATGTTTTGATTATGGTTTCTAATCAAAAGGTGGGAGGATGTTAATAATGCCTTACTTATTTTGTTAGTATAATTTAGCTACTTGTGTATGGCAATAGTAGGAGATATTCAGGTTTGAGAACGATGTAACAACGCGAGGAGCGTCATTGTTTCTTTCGTGGCAATAAAGTTTGTTTTCGTTGAAAATGATTCTATTGTATAAATAATCACCGCAGTTATAGTGTTTTAATGATAGAGACTATCTTTAATTAAGGGCTACTTCGTGCTGAAGTGTGATTTATGATTTTAAGTACTGAAAGCTGAAAATGGTCGGTGATACTTTTTTCTTGTAAGCTTTAACACATTGCTATGAATGCTATGGTATAAAGTATATTTTCGGAAGCGAGTAATACAGATGTCTCGTAATTCAGCCTTAATAACAATAACTGTTTTATGAACTGGAATTATCAATTCATGCAAATTTGGTATGCTTTTGCACAATAAACTGTGTAAAACTGTATTAAACTTAAACTCCAATTGTTAAAGGAACAGATAAATACATTTAGGAAATGCAGAAATACTTAAAATAAATTATTCACGTTAATCCTCCAATGAAGCAAATTATAGGACATTTTTACTTAAACAAATATTTAAATATATTGAAGTTTTGTACTGTAAGAGAGTTATTTTTAATTTATAGTTTAAAAGTCTCGTAAAATTGTAATTTGTCAATGGAGAAATAATGGTGAAAGAGAATAAAAATTTTGTATAACTAAATATAAATATATATTTTTTGTAATTTAGTTTCCAGAACCACGTTTTCGATCTACTAATTTCTGTACTTATAACTATTCGCTTAGTGTTACAGATAAGCAACTAAATAGCTAATTTAAAAACTAAGTGTTGAAACTCTCACCGACAACCACGTGATTTGCGCATGCGCGCAGGAAAAAACTAAAATAGAACTTTTTTAACTGAACTTTGAGAACTCGTGATGGACGTTTGAATGAAACATGTAATCCTTCTCTTCTGTGTTACATATATATTTTAGTTTAGTGATGTGATTGTAAATTTCTTAGAAGCCTCTTTTTTTCCGTGAGTAGTGATGAATGAAAATAAAACATTCCCGGATACGCCTTTGGATTAGAAAGGAGATCGATTAAAAGGTAAGCCTTTTTACCTTTTATTTTCTAAGAATGATCATGCTATTAATCATGAACACATTATACATTTTTTGGCATCCCGTGCCGCGAATGGAAGCGAATTGTTGATACTTGTTGAATTATTGAATATTAAATAATGACGGAATTCATCGATACATTGAAAAGGAAATGCGGCCACATAAGGGCTGCCGTTACAAAATTAATTGGCCGAATCGAAACTGAATTATCAAAAACAGAAGTGAATGCAGAGGAACTAGAAATTTCCTTAGAACTCTTAAATGAAAAATCGAACGAGTTAAAACAAAATAGATGCCGATATAGAAAAATTAATAGACATAAAGGATCTAGACCAGGAATTAAACGGTGTTGACGAATATCGTGAAAGAATAACTACATTTAAATACAAAGCTAAAAAAAATTGAAAGAAATGAATATAGAACAACAAAAATTTAGTGTGTTAAGAAGCACTGAACAGTTAAGTAAAAGTATTATAGAAAACGTTAAAATCGAAAAGTCATAATGTGAAGCTTCCTAAACTTACGATTCCGAAGTTTTATGGCGAGAGTTGCGAATGGCTGACATTTTGGAACACTTTTTCATCAGCCATATACCAAAATAAAACGCTTGACGCTATAAGCAAATTTAATTATTTGAAATCCTTTTTGGGAGGTACTGCTTATAACACCATTGGCGGTATCGATTTAACCGAAGAAAATTACGAAACTTCAGTTAAACTCCTCACAGAAAGATTTGGAAATAAAGATGTACTGATAAACGCCCATATAGATAAATTACTGAAAATAAGACCTCTAAAGGATTCTAATGACATTCAAATTTCCGTAAGTTATTCAATTACATACAAAAACATATTCGATGTCTTGAATCATTAAATATGACCTCAGAAACATATAGAGCTTTATTAACACCTATTTTGCTTAAAACATTGCCCGCAGATTTGGTTTTGGAATATAATAAAACATTTCGAAAATCAAATTACGGTTTGAATCACCTAGTGGAATTTCTTTCTCAGCAATTAATTGCACGGGAAAAAAACAGCTTTGCAATCGAAAGAGGCGGCGTCAATTTCTCCCCCCCCCCGACAAACAAAACGCGGAAGCAAGCTGTCAACTTGGCATGATAAACGGGTACCAGATGTATCGTCTGATTCTCACTTGCTGTCTACAAATGAGAATCAAAATTATAAACATTCGAACTGCATATTTTGCGATTCAGATCTTGAAAGTTCTGAATGTCGGAATGCGAGTCGTTTAACCTTAGATGAAAAAAAGCAAAAATTGCTGAAGCACGGATTCTGTTTTAAATGTTTGAAACGGAACCAATTTCCCGCTTATGCAAAACGGAAGTTAAATGTTCCATATGCGGTAAAGCTCATTTTTCAATAATGTGTAACTCTCACGGAAATAATTCTACAGACGTTATTGGGATTGAAAATGATAAAAAAGACTGTGTTCTGACAAATAAATCTTGCATGCAGTTAGTAAATTTTCAGACTTTAGTAGTAAAACTTCGTGGCGATGGAATCGAAAAATATGTGGGAATTTTAATAGATAGTGGTTCCCAGCTATCCTACATTTCTAAGTATGCAGTTAGTATAATGAATTATAAAACAAGTGGTAAAGAAGAATTAATCCATGGTTTGTTCGGAGGAATTGAAAAGAAAGAAACTCATAATAAATATTTAATTCGATCGATTAGTCCTTAAAGGTGATTCATTACCACTGTAATTTTCAGGCTTTGGGATCAAGATAAAATATGTACTGACATTCCTCAAATTCGTAGAGATATATATCTTACTGAACTGCGAAAACATGGAATTTATTTAACTGACATGCAGAATAAATCTGTGCATTTGATGTATGAAAAATCACCTTTAGAAATTCGTGTTCTTTTAGGTGCATATGTGGCTTTTAACAGGGAAGGTTGGACAACTAAAATGTGGGTTATCATGCGTATACACTAAATTAGGATGGACAATGATGGGGAAAACTGAAAAGCGTGAGTTCTCTAACAGTACGGAAACTGTATTGTCACTTCATGTTAATGATGCTAAAATTTCGGATTTATGGTGTCTTGACTCGTTAGGAATAACGGATCCTGCTACAACCCGCACAAGAAAGGAAATTGATGAAATCGCTAAAACATATTTTCGTCAGTCATTAAAGAGAAATAGTGAGGGTAGATATCAGGTCTCTCTTCCTTGGTTAGAAGGGCATGAGGTTTTACCTGATAACAGATTATTAGCAGGGAAAGGTTAAAATCCTTGTCAAAAATCTTCAGTCAAAAAACTGTCTGGAAAAGTATGAAAATATTTTTAACGAATAGGCTGAAGAAGGTATTATAGAATCTGCTGAAGATAAGAAAACCGAAAATTGTCATTACCTACCACATAGGGCTGTAATTAAGGAAAGTTCAACCACAAAGATTAGACCTGTGTTCGATGCCTCAGCGAAGGAAAGGAATGGTGTGTTTTTAAATGACTGTTTAGAAAAGGGCCCAAATTATTTGGAATTAACACCGAGTACAGATTTCGCCTAGGTAAATGCGGGGTTATCTCAGATATACGTAAGCCCTTTTTGCAAATAGGTGTCTGTCCTCGAGATAGAGACTTTCTTAGATTTCTCTGGTGGTAAGAAGGAGATTCCGAGAAATTGAAAATATATCGACATAAGCGCGTTGTGTTTGGCGTTAATTCCAGTCCTTTTCTTCCCGCCGCCACACGGAATTATCATCTCGAAGAATGTTCCGGAACACCAACAAGAGGTAGCTAAGATATTAAGTGAATCAATGTATGTGGACAACTGTGTGGTTAGCGTTGGCGCTATTGAAGAACTAAACACTTTCATTAACGTATCAAAAGGAAATTATGTCGCCTCCTAAATTTGATTTAAGGGTATGGTGTTACAATGAACTTAGAGGTGAAACTTTCAAAGAAAGTCCTTACCGTGAAGACTTATATAAAACCACATCAGTTCTCGGGTTGAAATGGAATTTGTTAAATGACACTTTGTCCTGTGAATTTAAAGATAGTTCTGTGAAACAGCCTGTCAGCAAAAGGAATATATTGTCAATAGTACACAGGATTTTTGACTCGATTGGGTTTACAGCTCCTGTTACTCTGATTCCTAAGCTAATGCTTCAAGAATGCTGGAAACAGAAGATTTCATGGGATAACAATTTATCTGAAAGCATTTCTGACAAATTAGAAAGTTGGAAAAATAAATTGCACAATTTGGAAAAAATAGCTATACCCAGAAGAATTTTTGCTGACTCCGAAAGAATTTCCGATTTATCTTTACACGTGTTTTGTGACGCGAGTAAATCTGCTTATGCCACATGCATATTTATGCGAAGCTGTAATGAAAATTCCGTTACATGTCAGCTCATCTCAGCTCGATCCAGAGTGGCATCTATCAAGCCGATTTCTATACGTCGACTAGAGCTCTTAGCTTGTACGATTGGTGCTAGACTGGCACATCGTGTTAAGGAAAAT